TAGGCAAACTAAGGCTCAGGGGCCAGATGCGGCCCAATCGCCTTCTAAATCCGGCCCACGGACGGTCCGGGAATCAGTGTGTTTTTACATGAGTAGAATACGTCCTTTTATTTAAAATGCATCTCTGGGTTATTTGTGGAGCATAGGAATTCGTTCATATATTTTTTTTCCTTCAAAATATAGTCTGGCCCCCCAACAAGGTCTGAGCGATAGTGGACCAGCCCCCTGCTGAAAAAAATTGCTGACCCCTGGTCTAGTCTGTCTGAAGACACCTCCCCAGAGGGAGAAGGCTCTTCGGGGATGGGAGGCAGCCCTCTCAGTATATCAGTCTGCTGCGACATGCGTCCTAAGGTATCTGAGGTGGGCTTCTGCCTTGACAGCCCAGTCGGCCCTTCTGTGTGATCCAAGCTGATGTCCCCCAGCCTGCTAGGTCCAATTCCCCTTGTTCTCCATCTTCTCCCCATTGCTCCTCCCTCTTGGACCAGCCCTATCAAATCACCTCTGCTGGGCTCATGACAGGATGCCAAATTAAACACCATCCTTATGGACCGACCTGGTAGATGTAAGCAGTATATCTGTACATCTTTGTGCCGGCAAATCCTAGCAGAGGAATTGCAGTATGCATCTTTCTTGGAGATGCACCACTTCAGTCCAAATTGTTCAAATCCCCCCTCCTGTAAATTATTTTTTTTTTTTAAAGCAACATTTCAAAATGAAGGTTCCAGCTGGGTCCTAATTCTTCTATGAGCCCGGCAGCCCTATTGAGTAGTAGAGTAAATAGACTCAGCTATCCACATCTTGAAAGTGGTCCAGGTCCAGGAAGGATGGGCCATTTGCATAGAGCTATGGAAGCCATCTACAAATATCTCAAGGGCTGTCACATGGAAGATGGAGCAAGCTTGTTTTCTCCTGCTCTGGAGGCTAGGACCTGAGCCAATGGGTTCAAGTTACCAGAAAGGTGATTCTGACTAAACATCAAGAAGAACTTTCTGGTGTCAGACTCCCTCAGAAGGTGCTGGACTTTCCTTCCTTGGAGATTATAAAGCAGAGTTTGGATGGCCATCTGCCATGGTAGTTGATGGTCCTCTGGGTCCCTCAGGGTCCCTTCTGTGCTGGGCCCGGGGGTAACCTGTGAAACGCAGCCCAGGTCCAGTGCAGAATCCTAAGGTTCTGCTGAGAGTCAGTCCGACAGGGCCAAGGCAGGACACGAGGCAGGAAACCAGGCAAGGACAGGTACAGGATCTCACGCAGGATCTAGCATATAGCAATGTTGCTCCCGCAACCTGGGGCAGGGTCCGACAGCCTTTTTTCTTTGTCGGGGTAGTGGCCGGTCCTGATCCTCCAGCGACTCACCTCCCTGTCTCGCCCGAAGGCAAGCACTCCTCTTGCGAGTACTCAGTTCTCTTTTTCTCTCAGACCTCGATCTCTGCAGCTCGGGACACGTCGGTGGGTTACTAGACCGAGAGGCCGCCTCAGCCTCCCCTGACCAAACCGGTAGTGGGGCAGCTGTAAGTGATTGCCCAGCTGAAGGCAACAAGGTAATCCCTGCATCTGGAGCCAGGGCAGACTCAGGCCCCTGACTCAGCCCAGCTGGTGTTTGTTGCAGGGGAAACTGTGCAGACTGGGACTCTTCAGGATCAGGCCCCAGACTTGGTTCAGATGATGCCTGAGGCAAAGGATCCAGTGCAGACTGAGTCTCCTCTGGTTCTGAGTCCGAGCCCGAGTCCCAGGCCATCACACCTTGCAACTCTACAATTTTGTGATTCTATGATAACATTCTTGTATTTGGTTTTGATGTTTCTTGTCATTTCTGTTCAGAGCACTGAAAGCTGCATTGAGCATTGTCGTGTAAATAAACCACGAAATCACCCTCATCCTCTGATCTTAACAAAACTCTTAAGTTGCCTTGCGCTTCTGTGGGCTGCATTTGGTAGCCCAGTGGGCTAATGAAATGCAAAACACCGAGGATGAAAGGATGGCATGAAATATCATAATGATGACTCAATCGGCTCCTTTGCTTACATGAATCTTCTTCGACCAGCATGCTGTCAGTCTCCAGAAGGAAATTACGTGTTCCTGCCTATCCTTAAGACAGATCTGTGGATGTTTTGATGGAGTAAGGGGCTGCTTTCATCCCCTCACAAAAACACAGCGAACTGTGCCGCATCAAAGAAATAATTCTCCTTTTTTATTATTTGATTTGCAAGGGAGATGGCATGCAGAACTGAAAGCTGCAGCCCAAGAACCTAGCTATCTTTGATCTGCATAGTGGCGAGCAGAGGACCTGATATTGTGACACTTAAAGCACTGAGGGAATGCTCCTCAGTCCTGCCGAAGCTCAGGAAATTGCCTCGTGTAAGAGATTTAATGGTTTTCTTTAATGCACCTGCAGTTTTCGACTGGAGGGCTCCCAGGGATCATTTTTGCTTCTCTCTCTCCCCCCCCCCTTTTAGCTGTTGTTTCTTTCTCATCTCTGGCCAGGTTGAGAATTTCTAGCTTTCAAGCACTTGTACACAGTCAAAGCCTCGACACTGTCCTGCTACTTCTAGTAACACTGGGGCAATAAACACGCAGGACAATCCTCAACAGGATAGCAAGCTGGCTGTTGTGTTGGTTGGTTTCCTGGTAGCTATGATGCATGTTGTTCCCTGAATCAACAGGGATGCTCTGCAGGGGAGGTGGGGAGGCTACATCAGAGACAGAGAAGGGGAGGGAGGGCGCACAGCTTAAAAGACCAGAACATCCTGAGCGAGAGACAAACAGCAGTAGGTGAGATGCTACTTTTCAAACCTGTAAGATTTCGCTTTCTGAGTCATTCTCCCGTAAACGGATACATTGCAGTAATTAAGAGCTGTAGCCACAGGAGAGCCTGTGGGGCTCAGTACTTTCAAGGATATAAACCAACAGATTCACCTTGAATTGTTCAGCTTTTCAGTCATGAGGATATATGGGGAAATGTGCAAACAATGGTCTATCACCTGATTACCTAAGATAGTGGTACCTTGGGTTAAGAACCTAATTCATTCTGGAGGTCCGTTCTTAACCTGAAACTGTTCTTAACCTGAGGTACCACTTTAGCTAATGAGGCCTCCTGCTGCTGCCGCGCTGCCAGAGCACGATTTCTGTTCTCATCCTGAAGCAAAGTTCTTAACCCGAGGTACTATTTCTGGGTTAGAGGAGTCTGTAACCTGAAGCGTCTGTAACCCGAGGTACCACTGTAAATTAATGTGCTCCTAGCTGGAAGTTATTAAATTCATCTTAATTTTTATCAGGTGCCTTCGTCCTACTCTTTCCAATGCCTGCTCAAAACTTCTTTGTTTTGTTTAGATGAGTCTCAACAGACATTCAGTTTTATTATGCATATTTGTTTTGAAAATGGTGGAATTTATCCATGTTTGGATAATTTTATTTTACGTTTACATGTTTTTGAGGTCTGTTGATTTTGGCTGGTATTTTCTAATGAATATTTCAAGTCATTTCATATTCATGATTATTCTGCTGTTTTGAAGCAGTATATAAATATTGTTATAGAATAGTAAGCATACAGCTTCAGTGATATTAAACCACTTTATTTAGATTTGGAGTGAGTCACATTAATTTTTGGTGCCTCCAGTTACCTCCTCACTGCAAATAAACAAAAACAAACACACACACACATGAAAGAGATTGTAATAAGGGGGTTGGCCAAATTGAAAAACTCTGATTTTTCTGGTTCATACTCTCAAACATCTGATGGCTGCCATTCTGACAGTGAAAGCACTGAGAGAGGAACCCAAAGTCGGACAGGAAATATTTCTGGGCCAGGAATTCACTCCCCAATTTTTCTCCCAGTATTGAGGAATAAAGAAGAAATTCACAATTCCTGAAGCAATATGAGAACCAAAACACAGCTCTCTTTCATAATTTGCACTTCTCTAAATTTTGTGATGAAGTTTGTAATTAATGCAAATGTTTGCGAAAATAACATTCAAAACTGCATTATACAGTTTTATCTGGAAATCGCTTCCAGATGTGTGTATTAAGAGAAATGCACACTTAGGTGTTTGGTGAATTTTCATGGGGGCTTCTTAAAGAATATTACAGAAACTTAAAGAGTTGCAGAAATGAACATAGGGTTGCAAAAATGAGAATCTGAAAGAAACCAAGATTGACAGATTCACCCATATCTATTTTCAGCATCAATCAGAACTTGAAGCCTAAATATGCAAAATGGAAATGAGAAATGGTGGTTCAGTAGTTCTTTTATTAAGCAGGTTGCCTTGAAGTGTCTTCAATGGGAGCTAAAAACTGTGAGATTAATTGAAATGCACTACAGAGGTGGTTGGCAGGTACCCATCAGACCTTGGGGAAGGTAAACACCAGAGAGAGAGAGAGGGAGCATACCTTTCAACATTCCTAGAATGAAAATAGGGATGTCCAGTGCTATTTTTCTAGAAAATAGATGCCAGAACTCGCCATGAACACCTCCCTTGTTCTATTAGAATGGCAATGAATTTCTCCAATGAAAATAGGGACATCCTACCACACCCTCCATGGGGACGCGGGTGGGCACAGAGCCAAGGATCAGAAGGTTGGTCGTTCAAATCCCCGCAACGGGGTGAGCTCCCGTTGTTCGGTCCCTGTTCCTGCCCACTTAGCAGTTCGAAAGCATGTCAAAGTGCAAGTAGATAAATAGGTACCACTCTGGCAGGAAGGTAAACGACGTTTCCGTGTGCTGCTCTGGTTCACCAGAAGCAGCTTAGTCATTCTGGCCACATTACCCAAAAGCTGTCTGCGGACAAACGCCGGCTCCCTCGGCCTATAGAGCGAGATGAGCGCCGCAACCCCAGAGCCGTCTGTGACTGGACCTTACGGTCGGGGTACCTTTACCTTTACTTTACCTCTAACACACCATTTCTCTGATGAAAATAGGGACATCGTAAGGGAAAGCGGAACATTCTAGGATCAAATCAGAAACCGGGACGGCTTCTGTAAATCTGGGACTGTCCCTGGAAAATAGGGACACTTGGAGGGTCTGAGAGAACAATGTATGAGAGGAAATGGTACCTTGGAGCACAGAGCTTTATGCTAATGGTACTATTGTGGTTCAGGGGGTATCAGATGTGGGATACTGAATCTGCTACCTTGTCAGGAGTTTGTGCTCTTTGTCACCAATTTATGCTCTACTTGGAAATGAAAGGAAATACTTTAAGTCTATAACCTCCAGTGCATCCTCCTCTAAAGAAAACCAACCCTGAGTAGTGCCCATCACAGCACATAGAACTCATCACAGCGCATAGAAGTGTGCAGCACACACCTGCACACCTTCTTTTCTTCAACAGGTGCAGGAAAATCAAACTTTGGGCCACTTGACCATTGGCATTGTAACTCAGTCTGTCCAGAGGACTGGAGGTAGATTACTCCTTGAAAATTAGAAACCGACGTTGACAGAACTTGTCCATCTCTAACTTAGTGCCCCATCGATTGCAGCATCGGTGCTATTTTACGATATTTCGCACTCTCCCTTCACGAAAAGAAATACAGCGCTTCTGCATGGCAGATGAATGAGAAATATAATTCTCCACTTCCTTCTTCCCTTTAACTGTGATACTCACGAGACCTTTTTTATTGGCGTGATGAAGTTGTCACTGGTTGGCCCTGCAGCATCTTGTTCTACCAGGTTTGTTTACGGAAGCTGTGCCAGTAGATGTCACTCTAGAACAGGCATCCTTTGGTGCTCAGTCGAGCACCACTAAAGCAAATTGTGCATCCAGCCGGTGTTTCTTCACATGCACAGTAAACACCTTTCTTAGGCAATATGCCGCCACTGTTGTTCTTCCACCACCACTCAGTTGAACAGCAAATCATAACCAACCAAATTCAAGCCTACTTATGTGTGTTGCACATAACCTGGATAAGGAATGCAGTGAGAGAAAGGGATGCTGCAAAACGTAATAATTATTGTGACCCAATCATCTACCTGTCAGCTTAAAGGTAAATCCAGATTCTAGTGGGGGATGATTAATATTAGCTTGGTCACTTCTGGTTTCCTTTTCACGGAAGAACGAGGCCGTTTAATTCTCTTTAAGAAGACTGTGTCATTTGTATTTTATTTTATTTGTGTGTTGTGGTCAGGCACTTTGGTAGGGGAAAGCAGCAGTGACTATATCGTTCGCTGCGGCTACTATTGGAACAGCTGCAACACCTATTAACGGGACAAATGAGCTGCTAAGGATGGCCAACCGCACAGTGTAATTTAAAAGCGCTTCATTTCAGAGAAGCCTTAATTATTAGTCTGATGCATACCCAGTGCTTGGAATAAACTAGTTCGGTTTAACAAAGTTCACTGAAGCGGTTCAAAAGCTTCTAACCTGCACCTGAAAGGAGCTTCCATAATTGCCGAGTGAACAGAACATGAATTGAGTTTGCATTGGGTAGAACTTGGAACCATTTCTCGTTCCTCTTCGAGTTCATTCTGTTATGTATGTTTATTATTTTTTAGATACTTTGGGTCTCTCCCCCCCCCTTAAAGATCATACTTGTTGGAGTAAATAAATTGAACAATTCACATTCCACTGGGTGAGGGGGTGTTGACTCGGGGCCGTGAGTTTGAGCCCCACGTTGGGTGAAAGATTGCTGCATTCCGGGGAGTGCATTCCAGGACCCTCGTGGTCCCTCCTAACTCTACAATTCTATGGTTCTAAGCAGTGCTTTTATATGCCTGTTGTCTTCGTCCATGGAGTTTTCTTGGCAGGGATACTGGAGTGGCTTGCCGGTTCCTCCTCCAGGTGGATCACGTTTGGTCAAAACTCTCCACTATGACCTGTTCATCTTGGGTGCCCTGCATGGCATAGTTCATAGCTTCTCTGAGTTATTCAAGCCCCTTCGCCATGGCAAGGCAGTGATCCATGAAGGGGTACTGGTTTTCCCAGTAGTGATGTATGGAAGTGAGAACTGGACCATAAAGAAGGCTGATCGCCGAAGAATTGATGCTTTTGAATTATGGTGCTGGAGGAGACTCTTGAGAGTCCCATGGACTGCAAGAAGATCAAACCTATCCATTCTAAAGGAAATCAGCCCCGAGTGCTCACTGGAAGGACAGATCGTGAAGCTGAGGCCCCAATACTTTGGACTTCCGGGGTGGCGCCATCGGCAATGGCGGATTCCCTCTGAACTGGAGGTACCAGCTCCACGGGAAACGGGTCTTTACCGCTACGGCGAAGTGGGGACCCACTCAAAAATCACAGGCGGATGAAGCCTGTGACCATGGGACTCGGCGGGCACCCTTAGCGCCCCCCCAACTCGCTAAGGAACCCACTAACGGGCTCCGAAGTGAAGAGGGGGAAGTGGCGCAGTGCTGTGAGTCAACTGCTATTTCCGTGGAGCGAAGCCGCATAGCCGTTGCCGGAGAGCGCTGCCTTTGTCCTGGGACAATTTGGACTTTAAAATAAGCACCCGTGAGTACTTAGACTTTGAACAACTGGACATTAAATAAGGACTTGCGAGAGAAAAGAATTAGATCTTAAAAATCTATTTTAATTCGGTACGGAGCAGGAAGGTCTAAACAGGAAGTCAGCCTTCCGTTCTTTTGTAAACAGAATAAAGCAAAGACAACGTAAACTAGAGCTCAGAAAATCGCCTTTAAAGGATTGGATTTCATCATTTAAAATTGTGGAACCCCCCTTCGACAGCAGGAGAAGGGGGGGGGTCTTTTTCGGACTGTTTAAAGTGAGTTTAAAGTAAAGTAGCTTTCCTCCGTCCTGATCCTGGAGAGGGGTGTCAGGACTGACGTTTGAAGTTCATTGACCAGAGACAAGCGTTTTTGACAGATAGCTAAAAGAAGAGAAACATAGTGATTCCACTGTTTCCCTTCGCATTTTAAAGGAACAAATATTGACAAAGTATCTCAAAAAGGGAAACTTTGTTGCAAGAACAAATAGAAGTTTTCCCCCTAGAGGGAGACTGTGAAACTGTAACCAACTCCAGGGAACCGGCAGCTGTTACAGATTACAATCGTGGGAACAGGCATTTGACCTTGCAGGACAATGTACTCAGAAGCTTTGTTGTGTGCTTTCTATAAAACAAATGCCCTACTGGAACAGTTACATGAGAAGGTGAATTGGATGGCGACTTCGACTAGAAATTTTGAACAGGCAGTGGGAAATTTTGAACAGACAGTGAGAAAATATGTGGAGCCCACTCAGGAATTAAATCAGGAGTGTGTCCTGACAGAACAGGCCCAACAGGAATATGAATTTTCGGATTTGACAAATGAACTTGGAAAAAGCCAGATTTGGAAAGAAAAAGTTTGGTTTGGCTTGGAAATGGGGGGCTGGATTGACCCCCCTATGCTGGGATGTTTGGACTTTTCAAATCTGGCAATGGGCCGTGAGATGTTTGGGATTGTTGGGGCTCTTAATTTTGGAGGGCCTTTGAAACATGCTTTTAAATATCATATGGAATTCAGTGTTGAATATGGAAAAGGAGCTGATCTGTCGAGAAGGGCTAAAAACATTGCCAAGCTGGAGTTACCACGAGCAGGAGACAAGGGAAAATACAGTTACAAATATGAAGAAGAGCTGTGGAAGGGACATGGAAGAGACTTGAGGGCCTCGGATATAAGGTTGCCAGGTTAATGGGCTAGATCGATGGGATAATAAGGACTGACAAAACCCGGAACCAGGAGGAAGGGACGTTGGATGAAGATTGGACCGGTTTGTATCTCTTTTTTCTACCATTAGAGCTGTTTTATAAAATTGATGAATGTTAGAAAAATGTTGGAATGAAATTACTTGGCTTTAGTAAAGATGTTTAAAGAATTATGAAAGAATATTATGGTTATGAGAAGTTGGTAAGAATAAGATTTAAGTTTTAAGCTTTAAGGTTTATTTTATTATAGAAAGATAAGATTAAAACAGTTTAGGGCAATGTAATGACAGAATATTATGAAATATGGAAAGGATTTGCTGGGATAATTAATAACTAGGATACAAAGAAAGGGAGGAGGAGGAGGTCAAAGAAAGAAGGCAATGACAGTTGAGGATTTGAAAATAATGAATTTGTTTTTAAATGTTTTTAATTGTTTGTGATGTATTTTTGTATTTTTCTTTTTTTTGTCACTTTTTTTTGGAATTTGTATTCATATGATTGGAAGGGGTTTGTTTTTTCCTTTTCTACTTTGTTAACTATTTTTATTTTGTACTTTCTTCTGCCTTTATTTTATTTTGTAACACTTTGAAAATTTCAATAAATATCTTATAAAAAAAAAAAAAGAGTTTGACCAAACTGCGGGAGGCAGTGGAAGACAGGAGTGCCTGGCGTGCTCTGGTCCATGGGGTCATGAAGAGTCGGACACGACTAAACGACTAAACAACAACAACAAGCAGCGCTATTTTTCTAGAAAAAGAGGTGCTAGAACTCAATGTGAACACCTCCCTTGTTCTCTTATAATGGCAGCCACCTGAGAGTTGCCAAATACAGGGAATTTTGGCTGGAAAAAAGCCCTGGTTCTAAGGCTTTCTTTATATTCTTAGACATTCTGAATGAAGTCGGGGTGGTGGCTGTTAGAATTGCCAACGATCACTAGGATGAATCTACATTGAACTGTGAACCGGACATGAACCCAACTGGTTTGTTTTGTAATGGATTGAACATGATCTGCACGGATTCCTTTTTACACATGTTGAACTTGAACTAGATACCTCTTGAAATGAACTTTCCAAGCTCTGCGCAAGCGCCCACCCACATATATGTTCACTCACCCACAAAATGGAAACCATTGCCACGAATAAATACCGTGGTACCTCAGGTTAAAAACTTAATATGTTCTGGAGGTCTGTTCTTAACCTGAAACTGTTCTTAACCTGAGGTACCACTTTAGCTAATGGGGCCTCTCGCTGCCGCCGCGCTGCCGCCGTGCGATTTCTGTTCTCATCCTGAAGCAAAGTTCTTAACCTGAGATACTATCTCTGGGTTAGCGGAGTCTGTAACCTGAAGCATCTGTAACCTGAAGCGTCTGTAACCCGAGGTACCACTGTATATCAAATTCTTTCTCTAATCTTAATACAGAGAAGGGGAACTTTTGGCCCTCCAGTTGCTACTGAACTACAACTCCCAGCAGCCCCAGCAAGCATGGCTAATGGCCAGGAATTATGGGTGTCACAGTACAGCGACATCTGGAGAGCTAAAGCTTTCACTTCCCTGCCTTCATGACTGTATTCTAAATCCTTCTTCCTTAGGATCTGGGGAGCTACTGAATCTCTCAGCCATTTCTCCTAAGCAGTAAATCCTCTCTGTGTTCAGCAGAACACACATTATGCATTAATTATCCCAAATGCAAGTTTAATAAACAAGACACATGAAATGAAACGCTATGGGTGAATGACAAGTTTTTTGTTGTTGTTTTTTTAAAATCCACAGACAGAAAAAGCAAGTTGCTAGCTTGCAAGCACAGCAGGCATTAGTGTTTCTTTGGTATATATTCTCAGTCATCTCTTTTGTGGTGAACAAAGTATGATGCAGGCCACTGATAAATGTGTGATAGCTATCTAGAAATGTATCTTGAGCATCAGTGACTTAACATTATCAGTACAAAAGGCTTCCGTTGAGCAATCAGCCGCTAATGATTATTTGTACATTTCAAGCTAGCATTCGAAATCTTTGCTTGATGGTTAAGGATTTATTTGGCCAAGACAGATCATTTGTTTGGATTGTGTCCAGATAAGCAGCAACTTGGAAGTCTCTGCTGTTTGTGTGCAATGATAAATTGTGCTCCTTAGGATCCTTCAGCGCCTGATCTCCCTTCGGGACTGCAAATGTCTCCTCTTGATTTATATCCGGGATCAGGTCAGATCTTGCTTTCTTCGGCGGGCGTCTGAGCAGTCTCCCTGGTTGGACTTCAGGCTGGCACCTGCGTTCCACCACGTCAAGGAAGCCGTCCTTCTGAGGGACCATCCATCACGTTCCCTCTGGGACAATGAATAAACAGTTGTAGGGAGGAAAGTGACTTTCTCCTGCATGCCTCAGTTATCAATTCTGTCTGCTGCTGAAACCAATGAAAGCCCTTCTGTTAAACCCCATGAAGGATATCTAACTCTAGCTTGCCACTTCTTAAATATGCCTAAACTCTTTAAGAGCAGGTTGCCTCAGAGTGCAACAGCATACGATTTTAAATGTTGACTCTCTCAGCTCTGGTGCAGTGGTGAGTATCTGACTTTGAGAGAGATGGGGAACTAAAGAGGAATATTCTTGCTTTCTCTCATTCTCTTTCTCTCTATCTTTTACACACATACCAGCCCTGCAAAAGTCAAGGGCTTCTCTAGGGATATTTGGGGATTCTGATTAAAACAGAAATGGGAGCAGAGATCAGAGCCGTAGCTAAGTGATCTTGCACTCCTGGCAGAACCGTCCAGATTGTGCCACCTAGCCATGAAAAATAGGGGAAAACAGGGCCCCCACATATCCTATAAAGACCTCTATTTAAAACCTTTTCTTATGACGCAATGATCAATATTTTTATTTATAGACATATTTTTAGCTGATTTTGTACCCCCATTTCACCTGCGCCCCTGGCGGGGGCCTTCTTCACCACCCCCTAGCTACGGCCATGGTAGAGATTGCCTGTTGTTTGTTTATTTGTCCAGAATGGACATAAATACGGTGATCATGATCAGCATTCACCTTTGTCATTTCAGTCTGCAAACAATGCAGAATTGACTTCGTTTTCCCCATTTGCGTTGCATTTTCTCTGCACTGAAATGAACGGGGTAGAAAAGGCGGTGAAAATGCAATGTATGCAATTTACGTCGTGGATTCTTTAAATTATGTAAGCTATGTGATTTCACCGCAGTGGGGGGCAGCAAGGAAAACAACGTAGTTTCTGGCGGAAGGTGAACAGCAGCAGAACTGAAACAGAGCTGCAATACAGAGTGGAACAGTGAACAGCACCTTCCTACAGTCCTAGTGTCTACACAAACACCTCCACACACCTCCATCCAGGGAAGCAATGTGTTACCACAGCTCAGGGGCACTTTTCCACCAGGAAAAAACATTTGAGAAGGGCATAGAGCAGGGCTGCAGAGGGGACTGGGGACTGATCCAAGGGCCAGAGAGAGGACCATTTGCTCTCAATCCCCAAATGTAGTTTGTAATAATAATAATAATAATAATAATAATAATAATAATTTATTTATACCCCACCCATCTGGCTGCATTTTCCCAGTCACTCTGGGCAACTTCCAGCAGGTTATTAAAAACACAATAAAACATCAAACATTAAAAGCTTCCCTAAACAAGGCTGCCTTCAGATGTCTTCTAAAAGTCTGGTAGTAGTTGTTCTCTTTGACATCTGGTGGGAGGGTGTTCCGTAGGGTGGGTGCCACTACCGAGAAGGCCCTCTGCCTGGTTCCCTGTAACTTGGCTTCTCACAGTGAGGGAACCGCCAGAAGGCCCTCTGCGCTGGACCTCAGTGTCCGGGTAGAATGATGGGGGTGGAGACGCTCCTTCAGATATACTGGACCGAGGCCATTTAGGGCTTTAAAGGTCAGCACCAACACTTTGAATTGTGCTCGGAAACGTACTGGGGGCCAATGTGGTAGGGCTCTTTTTACAGGAACAGAGCACAGTTGGGTATCTTGAATGGGAGCACTTTTTGGGTGCCAATCATTAATTCTCAAGATTTAACATTTATTGGGTGTTTTACAAAATTCGTTTAAAGGACAAGGGCCCTTTCCATCACCAGTCTGCCGCTTTCATGAATGTATTTTTAGTTGGACTAGAGACAAAATGAAACTGCCAGGACCTTGTTAACAGGACCTTATGCACTAATGAATTAAACATGCTTTTTTACTCCTGACGGTAATCTATGTGCTTAAAGTATTAGACCAGTTGCATTTCACTGGAGTAGGTAAATGTGGGTAGCAGCATTTCAGAGGCAGAGGGAAGGAGGGAGACGTAAATTTACGAATTACTGCCAGCTACAAAAGTGAAGGATTTTAATGTGGATTTGGGAGCTGATCGGGTTGGCAGCCCGTAACTTCACAATGTTATATGCATAACAAAGGACAAGGTTTCAGTAGTCAAGGCATAAGAGACTGGAAGACCAGGCAGAGCTGGAGGTTCAGGTGATCCTGAGAAAGAACAATTGAGAAGGGAGAGGAAAGAAGAGGGGAAAGCTCTTTAAAGCAAGAGAACATTATATTAAGTTGTATGACGTGTGTAAAAAAATGCATCAGCCTCCATGTAAAGCTAAGTTAGAATTTTCAGCAGATGCCGAATGGTGGTGATTTTTGTGGTTGTGTTTGCTTTTTAAGTTTTCTTCTGTTTTTATTCAACCTTTCAGTTAAGATCCCAGTTTTGCTTTGAGCCTCACCCTGCTGCCCATCTGCCTTATTTGCTCGATCCTGTGCTACTGATATAAAATATTTCCGAGGAGAAAATGGTGAGGTTCAAAAGCTCTCTGGGTTAAACAACAAAAGAAATTGCATAGTCTTTGCTCCTTGCTTGTATTAATAAGGTGTCTCTACCTACATGGATATGTGTAGTGTTACCGTGGAAGAATCAGTGTTGAAACTTGGAAAAAAAGGGAACTTGTGACATCTTAAAATACATACTGTGAGACAAACTTCCATGCTATGTTATCAAGTAAATTCAATAAAAAAGAAAAGGAAAAAAATATTTTGCTGGGTCACATAATGCGCCTGCTTGGGGGGCAGGGAATAATGCTTTGTAGCCAGTGTGGTGTAGTGGTTAAGAGTGATAGACTCGTAATCTGGTGAACCGGGTTCACTTCCCCGCTCCTCCACATGCAGCTGTTGGGTGACCTTGGGCTAGTCACACTTCTCTGAAGTCTCTCAGCCTGACTCACCTCACGTAGTGTTTGTTGGGGAGGAAGGGAAAGGAGAATATTAGCCGCTTTGAGACTCCTTTGGGTAGTGATAAAGCGGGATATCAAATCCAAACTCTTCTTCTTCTTCTTCAATGGAATTGCCTTGGTCTAATACCAGCATTTGACTATGGACAGCATGTTTTCATTTGTCTTCCTACGAATATTTTTAACAGCTCAGCATTCATTATAGGGAAATATATTCACAGTGGGCTTGCAATAACGTAAAGGTAAAGGGACCCCTGACCGTTAGGTCCAGTCGTGACCAACTCTGGGGTTGTGGCGCTCATCTCACTTTATTGGCCGAGGGAGCCGGTGTACAGCTTCTGGGTCATGTGGCCAGCATGACTAAGCTGCTTCTGGCGAACCAGAGCAGC